TAATATATATATATATATACACTGTATATATATATTTTATATAGATATGTATACATATCTATTTTTATATATATACAAACATACATAAATATATATATATATATATATATATATAGATCACTATTTCATTTCGGAATACCTCAAATGTAACTCACTATTCGAATTTTCTACAGGTGAAAGAATGTGTCTTACAGGGAAGCATTTTACCAGCTGTCATTGAGGATTTTTTATCCCGGTGTGAAGGACTCATAGGATTTAGGCGGACATCACTACGCTATGATGAATACGTATACACCTTTCCAAGTATGGGTTTTATGTTTACTGATGTATGATTTGACGAGCAAACTGTGTCCGGTTTGCTATCGCTTTCATTCTATTATCGACTGTCAATTGAGAGTCTATATAACTGAAGTCGATCGCGTAAGTTGCACCTTGTTACACAAAAGTCCACGGATCTACAAAAGTTCATATTAAAGAGAGTAGAGTTTTCTTTCTGCAGATGGTGTATCAATAAACAAGCTGTCGGTGCCTTTCCGAGCCCGGCACCATAATCCCGAGTCCAAGTTACAGCAATGGTATGACGATAGTGTATCATTTATTGTCTCAAAGCTATCCACTCACAAATTAGGCTGAAATGGCTTGATTGCGAGATAGTTGTCGAGCGAGCTCTAGAACATAACGCACTAAATATATTCCAATGCGCCCACGTCGGGATTATATACAGCGTTCGTTGCAACTGTTAGGCTAGAGGTGCTCAAAGTTTTATTAGTACCCTGTCCTACTTAGTAGTCACGGCTAGATAACTACAAAGAGGTTGCAATTGTTAGAACAAATTAAAGCGAGTAAATTGCCTGGCTTGTCAGATATATTCATTTCGCTCGGAATTTCCGCTGCTTCATCTGACACGGACTCGTTCAAATCGCTAACAATATCTCGTTTCCGCTCAAATACGTCCTCATTCCTGTTACACACATTAGGGATTTACGTTACGTGGGTCCTACCGAGATTAAGATCCCAATACGAAGTGTCATCAATCTAGAACGGTCGGCTGACGACCCTCGGGCCTGGTTGACAGATACTGGCCACGTGTATGTACACTGAATGTATTCGCTGTTTGGCAAAACCTTCTGGTGCAGATTTCAAAATCAACTGGAAAACAACATTCATCCAACTCTATTGATGTCGCTAAACAAAGAAAGACTTATCTTCACCTACACCTCAGGTTTGACTACTGCTATAGTGTGACAGGATATTGCTTTTACTTGAAAGGGGTCTCTCTGTCGATATATCGGGCATACAAGGTAATCAATTGATTGCACGTTTGCTAATCAATGCACGTTTTTTTGGGCTCATTCAGGTCGATATTTCGCTTTAAATACACACTAAACTGGCGCTTGATCTCTATCCATCACTAATCCCTAACTCTTTGACTTTCGTTTTGCCTTTCCGCACATTCCTTATCTCGTCCAGATGTCGGCTTCTAGTAGGCCAAGCTTGACACCTAACAACCTCCTCAACGAATCATTCTTCGGTGTGTAGGAGTACTTGCCACACTCCCTCTTTCTCGCAGCTCTGTCACATACAATCGCTATCTCGTAGAATATTCAACATCTCAATTTTGGCGTAACAACGTGTGCGCAAGTTCTCAGATGCACACACATGCATACATATACATATACATCACACACACACACACATACATACATATATATATATGTTTACATACCTACGTACATATGTACATATATACATATGTACATACACACACACACACACATATATATGTATATATATACATACATATATATATATATATATTCGCATATATATATATATATACTATAT